TTTAGTGTTAAATAAAATTTACTAATTTAAAATAAAATTATACTTAAACCATTAAATTCTACGTAAAAAGGTGCTTTGAAAATGTTTTCATAAAAATACATAATTTTCCATAGCAAAAAAATTACAGCGATTTGTTAAAAATGCATATTTTTGAAAAACACCCCGTAACTCCGAAACAGTAACAGATATCGATATGCGGTTTTTACCATCATGTTTTTGACTAAAATTGAGCTCCAAACACCGATATTAGTTTTTGTCTATCTACTATAGAAAAGGGTGTTTCCATTTAAAAGCGTCGAATTTGACCCACCCTGTACATCAGTGTTATAAATTTGAATAAAATTTAGTAATAAATTAGATTAAATAAATAATTTACTAATTTAATTATTATTAATTGTAATTAGTAAAATTGCGTTTATCTCATGAAGGAGATCGAAATGGACAAAATATCAAGATACAACTTTTAATTGGCATTAAATGGCCTACACACTTTTGCTCCTTTTGGAAAAAAGTCAGTGGTGCACAGCATATATGCACGATGTGCCCGTCTAGCCGTACCGTGCAACTCTTCAATCTCCAACCCACGAACGGCAGAACAAAGTAATGCTTCAATATAGCCTGGTTACAAAAGCAGTGTAGCTCCGTGATTGGGGCTGCCGCTTCGGGAGCAACGTGTCGTTGGATCGATCCCCGTCAGAGGCTGAATTATTTTTATTTTTTACAGCTATTTTTATTTTTTAAAGCTGTTTTTACTTTTTTTATTTATTTAGAGCTGTCGGTAACAGCGATCAAAATACGCCATCGGTGTATTTTGATTGCGTCTGTTAGGCGTATTTTGATTGCGTTGGTTTTACTAATTTGTACGTTTTTGAAATTTAGGTTAAATTATGCTACTATTACTTAAGAACTTACTCTCGAAAGTTACAAGTTTATATAATAAAAGACAAGAAAAAAACCCACCATTTAAATTTGTCGGGCATCATTGGAAAATGATCGGACGACTTCGACCGCCATCGAGACTGTGGGTTGGAGTTGGAGAGTTGCATGGTACGGCTAGACGCACGTCCCTGGTGAATATGTCAACACTTTTTAGCATTAAAATATGTCGCATTTATAGTAATTTTTACTTTCAAAATTTCATTCGAATCGCTGAAAGCACTTTGAAGAAAATTATAATAAGTCGAAAATAGGGGGGGATGAAAATTTTAACCCCGTGTAGCTAAGAAACAAAACAGAATCGGACCTACATAATATGTTAATATTAAAAATAAACCTTAATTTTACCAGAGAAATCTCCCCACGAGACATGACTCATTTTTTGAAACACCCTGTATAAATTTTAGTGTAACTAATAAAATTTAAAATTTATAAATAAATTATAATTTTATTATTGCATGTGCTGCCTGTTTGGTAAATTCTAGTTATTAGTTCACCCCATAGAATAATTTAATATTGCTTTGAGATATGACATGATACAGGTTGTCAAAAAAGTTTGCATCAAATGGAGACAATTTTTTATTGGGTTGGGTTTATCGGAATCGTTTTTAGCATGCTTCTGCAACAAAATAAAATCATATTTGACCTAATATGTTACATGTCAACTGTTAAAAAATCCTATGAATAAAAAGACTTAAGGAAGAATCATTTTAACTATGTTATCGAGGCGAGGCCACGATAATTTTCTTTAATTTTCTTTAAAATGTGTTAAAATGTAAATTAGATATAAATAGTATACCGGGTGCGTTTCAAAAGTGGCTCACACTTATAACTTTTTTTTTCAGATAAAAAAACGAGATTTGGTGCGTTAGTATATGACATAAATTAGGATTGATTGACGTATTCAGTTGTTTTTGGTCACTTCCTGTTTCACCGGAAATGACTACAACTTTTGATTTTTAAATGGCACCCTCGGTATATTTTTACTTTATATGCTACAAAATATCATTCTGAATAAAATGACATATATGTCAACTTTTGACGTTTTTGTTTAAAAAAAAACGTAATTTAAATTTCAGTCCAAAGTGTCCAACATGACTATTAAGCTTCATTCAGAACCTCGTAATTAGTGGTTTCAATTAACGTAGATGTTTGTTCCTCTAATATCAATGTAAGCATTCACAACGTCATAATTAGTGGTAGTAATTTTCAGTTAGTCGAAAAAGTTAACAAACTTTTGACTTTTTCACTAATTATACTTTAAAATTTGCGAGGAATGTCATTTTGGCCTTTGTTTATCATCCGCCAAGAAAAATTTTATTTAAAAAGTATAAAGTGTAATTGAAACCACTAATTTAATCCACTAATTGGGAGGTTCTGAATGAAGCTTTAATTAGTAGAAAAAGTTATCAAACTTTTAACTTTTCCACTAATTATACTTCAAAATTTGCGACAAATGTCATTTTAGCTTTTAATTATCTTTATCGTAAATTACAACAAAAGTTGATTGTTTTATAAGCTAAATATTAAGCTGTCTCTATGGATACAACTGACCAACGCAAGTTGTTGCTTGGATATTCTGTTAATTTTAATTGTGTTTTTTAAATATTGTGAATGATCGTGAACTAAAAAGTATAAAGTATAATTAAAACCACTTATTATGAGGTTCTGAATGCAGCTTAAATAGGCTCAATAATTTGCTGATTTTGTATTAATTATTTTATAATTGTGAAAAAATGTACATTTGTAATAAAAATAAGAAGTTATTATAATTATTTAATAACAAAAATACAGATACGCTAATGGAACAACTATTTAAAATTGGCGTTTCCAAATTATTGTACAAGTAGTAACTAAATGAAAAATGCAAAAATAAAAACATAATTAGTTCGCTCACTCTGCACAAAAACTATTTTTGAAACATCTTTCCCACTGTAATTCAGGTCCTTGTTACAATGACATAACTTATTCTATAACGTATCAATATAAAAATATATAGAATTTGGCACTTCTTCCTTAATCTTTTTTTTTTAATAGTTGAAACATGACTTATGTTAAAATATATTTTTTGTATAGCTACTTAATTCATACATGTTATGTTTTTGATATCTTAATAATAATAAGGTCTTTTTCCATTTGGAGTATACTTTTTGGCGAACCCTGTATTCATATTTGTTCTTGGTACATGGCATGCCACCTTACTAATCCAGGAGAAGGGTCGGTCATCCACAGCAGATCAGGTAAAATTGATCCACATAGATTTTTTCTCTATCCACCCACGTATCCATTTTGTTCCTTCCTGGCTTTTCAACTGGACCTCGTAAAACCATATAACTATCTAGTAAGCTGCCAGCTGCCAACCGCTATCAACTGTTATAGAATTTTCTACATCTATAAATTGTTTTTTCTAAAATGAGTTGTCCAATTTTAACTGTTTTTTTTTGTTATTGAATCGTAAATTTAATATAATTTAGTAATTTATTTGTCAATACTGACATTTTAATAAATAAATTACCTAAAATTGATTTATTGGCGAAATTTTGAAAAAACTTATTTCTTTTTTTAATTTTACATTAGTAATTATTATTTATTATCAATTTTTAGTTCCTAGCAGCTGTTTTAAGCCATCTAGCAGTCTAATAGCAGCTGTTTCTCTTGGTAGAAGCAAAAAGATTTAATGGTAATCCATTTAGCGGTCAAAGATTTATCTGGTAGTTGTCTAACATACGATCGAAAAAAAAACGGCGTCAAAGGCGGCTGTATTTTTTTTTATTCTTTTTTTTAGGCTTCTTTATTTTTATATTGAATAAAAATGATTCTTAAATGGTCTAGTTTAAAATTCGAGAAAATTATTTTTTGGAAATACATTTGTGTGTCGGGAAACTTTCCATCCTTTTTTAATATTTTTTTGGTAAATGGCGTCAAGAGATTAACCTCGCCAAAATTATCATCGATTGTCATTCCTCAGCCGTCTTTGACGCCTTTTTTTTTTCGATCACACGCTATTTCATTCATTTTTTTTTTTTTTGGAGTGATCGAAAATGACTTCATTCCTATATAATTTTCGTCTATATTATCTATTAGAATGAATTATTCTTTGATTTTTGATAATGAATTAGTCTTTATTAATCAATATGAAATGTATTAGGTTTTCTTTAAAAATAAGCCCAGCTCCACTAATAGTAACTGAGTTAATCAAATTTTCTTAATATAATTCTTTTAATTTGATCAGAAACAGCGCATAATCAAACAATTTTACAGGTAGGCTGTGAAAAATACATTTTGACATTAAAGTACCGTATGATAGGAAAAAACGGCGTCCAGTTAGCTTGAAAATGACGATCGACGACGTTCCCCATATAATTTTACATATAAAATGACAGCGATCTTCATTTCATAGCCATCGCTGCATCTGTTTTTTTTATTTTTCGATCATATTGTATTTTACAAATAAGTGTCCAGGATGTACAATTTTCGATTTCATGACACCACCTCCAAAAATTTTGAGGCAATTAATATTAATCATCACTTAGGTCATTTTTTGCAACTTGATTTAATTTTTCTTAAAAATCCATTGATTAATTCAATAAATTTTATTAAAGATATAGCCACTAGATATATATTTGACTGAAAAATGGGCTACCGTCAGATCTTTTTGCTCCTACCTCGAGAAATGGTTTCTGTTAGTTAAAAAATTTAACTGGATTAGAGACCTTTTTTGAAAATAAGTTAGTATTTCGTTGGTTTTCATTTAATAATATTAATTTAGTAATAATTCTTTTAAAATTAATCTAAAATTAATTTATTTTAATGATAGAGTTATAATTTGCAGTTAGGTAATAATCAAACTTCTTAAAATTGGACAAACGATACATGATAGTGATTTAAAAATATATCATTAAATGTAGGGACAACAGCTAAAACTTTATTAAGTATATTTAGTTAATTCCAATATATCTTAACTCCACCTTATTTACTGATATATTTATTTTGAGAGAATAAATTGATATAGTTATTCTTGGTTCCTTTTGTATATGTCCACAACACATAATGCTAATTTACAGGATGTGATGTTGACCAAAGAAGGAGGATCTCTGGGATTCAGTATTATAGGAGGAAGCGACCATTCCAGTATACCATTCGGTGGTAAAGAGCCAGGAATCTTCATATCACACGTAATTATTCAATACATTTTATTTTTTTAAACTCTTACTATACCCCAATCAAAATAAACAAAAAAGCGGGTTAAATAACAATAATTCGCATTGAGCTGAAAATTGGTACAGGTCTTAAATACACTATTATAAATGATATCTGAAAAGTCCCCACCGCTCCCACGTCTGCTAAAAAAAATGATTTAAGGTCAAAGGTCAAAAATATGTTTTTTTGCTTTTTTTCTCCTGAACGGTAAGCGCTATCGCAAAAGTACCTTAAACAAATGTTGTAGACCATTAAATTTTCTACAATAATGGTTCTTATACTTTTTTCTTACGAACCATCATTCCTGAGATATGGCGATTTCAAACATCGAAAATACTAATGTGCACACATACTCGGCCGGTATACATCATAGGAGACTCAATTTAATAAAAATATTGTAACGGGTTTCGCCCATATAAATTGAAACACATAATGATTTAATTAATTGCGCAGACGTATTCAAAAAGATTGACTCTTCTCCACAAGTCATCATCACAAGTGGAATTCGCTTGCTTCTTGCTATATATGATGCTCCAAAAAAAAATGATTCTATAGACGTATAGATATTTAAGTTTTGTTAAAAATACTCGGAATAATAAAATGGTACAACTTTCTTGTCTTCCTCCAACATCTGCTTCTACCTGTTAACACTTATATCGTGTATACTATCAAGTTCAATTGTGGCTAGGTAATCAACTGAACCCAGAAGACTGGGGTTGGAAATTTATAGATAATACTTTGGAGCCGATTAAAACTTTACTTCCACCTGCTCCAAAAAAACTACTTAACACAATTTTTTGCAATTGCAAAACGGGTTGTAGCGCAAACTGTGGTTGTAATAGAGTCGGATTGTTTTGTACACCAATATGTACTAATTGTCAAGGTCAGTCTTTCTCCAATATTGACTTAAATACAGATGAGGATTTTGATGAGGAGACAACTGATGCATCTGTCATAGATGGATTTCCAGATATTCCGCAAGAAGAAAGCGAAGAAGACATTACTGGAAGTATCATTTGAAGATTACCACTCAGATTAAAATTCTCCCAAAATCAACGATAATCCGTTCGACTATAATCATTACCAAGAGCACCGTTTTTTAAAATTAATAGTATAATGTGTAATAAAACTTAACCACAGTAGATCGTGAACTAGGCCTACAGGGGAAACCACGTGCACGGAAATGTGTGCATATTATGAAAATACAAGTTTTTCAACTTTTCAAATCGCCATATCTCAGGAATGGTGGTTCGTAAGAAAAAAGTATAAGAACCATTATTGTAGAAAATTTAATGGTCTACAACATTTGTTTAAGGTACTTTTGCGATAGCGCTTACCGTTTAGGAGAAAAAAATCAAAAAAACATATTTTTGACTTTTGACCTTGAATATTTTTTTTAGCAGACGTGGTAGGGGTGGGGATTTTTCAGATATCATTTATAATAGTGTATTTAAGACCTGTACCAATTTTCAGCTCTATGCGAATTATTGTTAATAGAAATGTCTATTTTGACTGGGGTACTAACTGGTTTATGCTCTTTTAAGATGGTACCCGGAGGTACGGCTTCCAATTCTGGTAAATTACGAGTGGGCGATCGGATTTTGAAGGTTAACTCGGAAGATATCACGAAATATACACACCAAGAGGCTGTCATGGCGTTGCTGAGACCCGGAGATACTATAACGTTGACGATACGTCACGATCCTTTGCCAGATGACTATCAGGTAAATTGCTTTGAGCTTGAATACTGGAGAATTAACTTGGTTTTTATTAACCATTTTTGGAAAATTTAGCGAATAATCCTATATTACTATTTTCTATTTTTTTTATTTTTTACTCTGTAATAACTAATAAGATAGCTGCAGTTTGCGCTGACTTATTGGGGATCTCGTACTCTATTTAACTATGCAAAAAGTGACATAACCTGCTATTTAAAATTATTACGCAAAAGTCCAATAAATGTTATAATGTCAAATAGCGCCCTCTAGCCTATCACGGCAAGAAATAAATGGATTGGTATGGAAGTCGTCTACTTTTTTTCTGTCATCGTCTGTCGAAATCTTTTCTGAGAAAAAAAACAGAGTACATATATCCTTAATTTAAAAAAGCTAGTATAACCTTCCCCCACCGCTTTATTTTTTGAAGTAAAGCAACATAAACTATACCAAAAATACGCAAATTTGGCAGTGATCACAACAGCGATATTTAAAATACACCTTCACGTGCATATTTTTATGAATTATTCCGTTTTCTGGTAGGCCCAGATATTTATAAAGTAACTATATATTCACTCCAAACTGCTTTCTGTGAAGCCAAGCCGGTGAAATGGGTATATAAACCTTCTAAATGAATTTGCATAAGTTGCCCAGTTAGCTCTGCTCAAACGTAGTGCGCAAGCCTGGATTTTGAATTATCGATCGGATAACTAGGCCAATAATAGACTAGACGCTAGCACCAGCTGTTCATTCGTACGGCTCCGTCAAACTTCGTACGGCTGTCGTTTGCGCTCCCGTTCGACAATTGGCTAATCCTCAGAGTAAGGGCTAATCGATATTCGGAATTTTGGAGTTGCGCTATTGCGCCAGTGTCTGCCTAACAGACGAACTTATGTGACATATACATAGACCGGTTATCTAGTTGTCTCTAACGGGGCTTCAACTCCAACACATTGCAGGGATAGGCGATAATCTGTACATATTTGATATGTATATGGGTAGGCCATAAAAAATGTGCCCCCTAGCGGACATTTTTCGTACATGAAAATAATTTCTAGCGATTTCTCTTGGCCGATTTACTTATTATTATTTTTCCCAAAGTTATACGATAAGTAGTTTCTGAGAGACCTACAGCCTGCGTCCATTCTTAGTTGGGTCTAAGACTACTATTGTGTATACATTTTTTATAGAAAAAGATCGTTTTTTAGTGTAACGAAATAAAGGTTATTCGCTAAATTAACTAATTTTTCTGATGGAAAATAATCATCAACATAGATTATATTAAAAACAACTAAAACGACTTATAAGAATTGTTTATTTGTGATTATACAATGCAGACTTTCAGTACTTTTTATCTTCTAATATCATCAGATCATCTGCTGATGATGCTAACATGGTTAGCGAAACGCGTGTCCAGTGTAAAGGTATAAAGGTAAAAGTATTTTGGTGTATTGTGGTGATTTAGTGTTTTATTTTACTTTTTATCACCTGTTATGTAATTTTGCAAATTAATAAAAAGAAAGCTGCTAATTGTAGTTGTTTTTGATATAATGTACGCTGTTAGGTTAGTCCGTAACCTACCGATTTTGTCATATGTTTTGTCACCCTTCCCTGTCAATAATATTTGTATGTGTTCAACGTTATATTCCTAAGACAAAAAGCGTTGTTTGCCATTTACTAAATAAGACACAAGAAAAACAATGTATTCGTGTTTAATTATTGTCTTTTCTTTCGCAAGCAACTAATGGTTACTTACATTGACGTTATGGTAAGTGTGAGATGTGTCAGTTGTCAGAGTTGCTCATATTAACTATGTTCTAACAGAGATTTGTTTTAATTATGTAGCCTTGTGTTGATATTTTTGCCTAAATACAATTATTTTTTGTAGCAGTTACTTTATTCCATTTTTTATTTTTATCTACATAATATATTTTCAGTCAGTGCTAACCAAAATTTAGATACAGCATGCGGTTTTATATGTGTTTTTGTATTTTATTTTGCAATTTTACTAGCAAACGATTATTTTTTTCTAGGAATTGGTTATAGAGAAGAACGAAAATGAAAAATTAGGAATGCACATTAAAGGAGGACTACAAGGTCAAAGAGGAAATCCCCTAGATCGTTCAGATGAAGGCGTTTTCATATCAAAAGTCAACACATTAGGCGCTGTACGACGCGATGGTAGGCTCAAAGCAGGTGAGAATTATTTGATACTATGTAATGGACTTTTATATAGTCCGTCCAGCGAGAGAATATACAGAGTTATTCACCACATACGACACGGAGTATTGTAGCTAAACGATTAGATTTTTACAAAATGTAAGTTTTGGGTTTGTAGAAGGACTGTTAGAGGTATAATTTAAACATATTTTTACAAGATACAGAGTGTTCCAAATAAATAAAAAATATCAAAGTTGTATTTTTTTAAATGGAACACCCTGTATATTTTTACATTTTTAGTTTATACGATTAAAATAAAGGTTAATTTGATTAAGGTTTATCGCACCATTTTTGAAATATTTTCATTTTTGTGAAATTGCAGTAAAAATTTTACGGCTTCATTTCTCCAACAGTATCAAAGTTTTTGATACTAAATATTTACTGAAGTTTATTTATTGATTAGTTATTGTGTTGCAATAATAAAAATTATGCTACAGAGTGTCTAAAAATTAATTTTAAATAATTTCTAGCTTTAAACGGCAATAACTTGTTTAATTTAAATAGAACACCCTGTATTATTTAGGGGAATCAGATGCACAATTTAATTGTCTATCAAATTATATTATGCCGTTTTTTACCTATCCCTTCAACTTTTCGTAGAAAATGCATTTTCTTATAATTTAGGCCTCATTTATTAATATACCCATGGAATATTGACATTTTAGATTGTTTTTAGAGGAACAAATATACAAAATGTACAGGTGCTAAAAACGATAATATTACTAGCCCATTTGTATACAAAAAGAAAACGATTTAAATCTTTACAAAAGAGTATACCATTAATTAAATATACCACCATTATTTCCGCCAAAATATTAATTAATTACACACTTAATTGTTAGTTAATAAATTATTCTAAATAAATGTGGATTTGAATCAGAAATCGATATAATAATAAGTTATGAAAATGAACGTCTCTGTTTTTATAAATAAGCATCCGTCAAAAAATGAACCAAATTTTTGGTGTAATAAAATGGTGTTACTTTTTACCACACTGTCTAATACACATACAAAATTCAGTTTTTTAGTATTTGGAGCAATTATTATTAACCAACGCAAACAGTCAATTAATGTAGTTTGAATACTGGAATCATATTAATTGGTCCTCTTTAACAAATATTTAAACAGTTTTTTTTTAATTTTTTAATGAAACAAACGAACTACATACAATCGACAATATTAGTATCAGTACTCTTTAAAAATTTATTACATCTTTAATAACAATCTAAAATATCAATATTCCATGGGTATATTGATAAATGACGTCTAAATTATAAGAAAATGCATTTTCTACACTACTACACTACATACTCTGTCATTAAAAATTGAAATTCGTTGGTTACGAAAATGTTTTTGCTAAAACTCGTATGTGCGTCTAAAATTATAAAATTGAAATACAGCCAAAATGAATAAAAGCTCATACTCGGAACCTACTTGGAATTAATCAAATCGGAACGCTGTCAATTACTAATTTCGGAACGTACTGAAAATTTTCTATCGGTGTGAACTGATCTCAGACACACCCTAAAACGGATTTTAAATAAATAATGATGACGTAACTTTTGAACAATCATTGTACAGACTATATAAATATATATCACTAACAAAGAGCAACAGTGTATTAATTGTACATTATTAATGAATACCGAAATGCAAACATTTTGTACAAACCTATAAAATCTATTTCTGTTTCGTAGGCATGCGTCTCATTGAAGTGAACGGCAAGTCATTGCTCGGAGCTACTCATAACGAAGCTGTGAACTCACTGAGGCATTGCGGCAACAAAATACGGTTGATCGTTTGTAAGGGTTATGACAAGGCCGACATGGACAAGGCAGTGGCGGAGGGTCGATTAACCAGGGGCGGGTCAGTCAGTAGCCGGTCGCAGAGTGTGAGCAGTTTGGACGTTAACGACGAAGATTTTTCTTTGGTAGGTTTAATGTAAATATATATTTTTTAATTATTTTTAATAAATTATTTTTTTTCAGTTTGAAAAAGAGGAGGCAGAGAAACGGCTGCAACCTCTCTATCAAAGTGAGGAAGATCTCTCGTTAGTCGAGGCCAAACCGACTACACCTGCGGAGAAAGTAAGTGTATTTACTTGGATTAGCTTTAAGAAAAAATGGGAAAAACCGATTAATTTCAACAATCGAGTACTCGAGTTTCAAGCGATTGCAATAATCGAGTGATCGCTCGAGCGAAATATCACTCGTATTTAAAAATACGGTTTTCATCCGTCGCGTCGCTTGTAAGTACTCGTTAACGCCAAGCGCCAAGCAGTAAGTTGCGTGCGCAGGTCACATATTCTTTCGGTGATGAATGGCAAGTAGCAGGCGGCGAGCGATTCTCTTGATTTAGTTTATTTCGAAGCAATGTCGATGTAGGTCGTAAAATTTTGTTCGTCAGATACGCAAAGCATAAATAAATATACGGCGTCGTATAAATTTGCTACCGGCAATGTATGTAGAAAATTCGCTCGACTTTTTATCGAGTATGTCACATTAAAATCGGATTTCAATTTATTTCATTCTAGGATGGCTTGCGTTCGTCGCTTGGTACTCATCACTTGCATCACTGCACTAAGATTAGGACAACATTTTTAGCTTCATCTATGAGCTACAGGGAAGAAACAACAAATTAAAAAAAAAGAAATCTACATTACTATCTAAGCAATTTTTAACAGCGCTATCTAGCGCAGTATGTTTTACCTAATCGCAATATTCATATTATTTTAACGGTTTATACTAAATAATTTGTTTGGTCGAGTAAATTTAATCAAACATCTCGTACAATTTATTTCACTCAAATAAATGCTTAGAGTTTATTGGTCTAATTTACATGTGAAAAAAATTATTTACTGAATAACCGCTAAATAGATATGTATAATTATTGTGCATGTGTTAACAATCACCTGTATTTGTCTAAGACACAATAAAAATAGTTATCTGATTTAAGTTAATGCAAGTGCGATTAATAAGTCGTGTAAATTGATTAAAAGCAGATATACAAGGAAAATAAAACAAGAAAGCATTTGCCACCAAAAACAATTTATTTTTTTTCCTTTGAAATTAATATTTTTTCTCTCAAACATTTTTTATACATATCAAAACATATTTAGTAATTTTTAAATGCAATTAAAGAATAGTGATAGCCTACATCGAAAAAATAAAGCTTAGATTATAATTACTAACATTACAGCTCATTCAGAATGTCTAAAAACATATTTAAAATTAATAGAGTATCCTAGCAACAGCTTGCAGTAATTGCATCCATAGAGAAAGCCTAATATTTAGCTTATAAAACAATAAACTTTTGATTTCTAACAACTCTTTTGACGGGTGATAATCAAAGGTCAAAATGACATTCCTCGGAAATTTTGAAGTATAATTAGTGGAAAAGCCAAAAGTTTGTTAACGTTTTCCACTAATTGAAAATTCCTACCACTTATTTTTGACGTTCTGTATGCTTACATTCAAATTACAGTAACAAACTTCTACGCTAATTGAAACCACTAATTTATTCTACTAATTGCGAGGTTCTGAATGAAGCTTAAAAGAATAGTTTACCAATATCAATAAAAATGGTTACACATAAGTACTGTGTAGTCTGTCCAGTGACAGTAGTTCTCGTCTCATTCTAGGCAGCGTATAGTTCCATCTTTATATTCTTCTATTAATTTTTTTCTTTAAATTAAGGTTATGGATGTTGTCCATGCTGTCGAAACGTTAGCCAGGGGCAACCAAGAAAACGCTGCACCCCCTAAATCACCTGGAGGGCCCAACTCTGAGCTCAAAACGACGACAGTTGTTATGAGCAAGCATACGTTAGCACCTCAACATACTACTGTAAGTATCATTACCTAATACACCTATAGGAAATTGTACGATACATATATAATCAGTATGCTAGAATATCTTCTACCCATACTTTGAATAAGAAGACTAAGGAAGGAGCATAATGCTATTCATGTATTCATGCATGGTGGGCGGAAAAAGCACTCTAGGGTGGGGATCCTTGACAGTTCTGTTTGACGATTCATTTGACACATTTGAATTTGATTTGAAATTTTATGGATTTGTCAGTCTTTACGGAGCTTATTTTATGTTATTTATTATTTATTCTACTACTGATAGTTGTATAAAGGTAGTAAATCTAGATGGAAATTGTGGCAGAACTTAAATTAACAGTGAGACTATCGCGTTTTATCGAAAAAGACTCTAAAATAGTTGGTTGTGTAGCGTGCAGTAGATCTCGGCAAAAATCGAGTGAAATAATGGAACAACTTTTCGCTAGTAAGTGACTATATAATATACATACGTGTAGGAAACCGATCATTTATGAAATTCACTTAAATTAATTAATTATATATTTTTTCTTGCATTTTTGCTTTTATTTACTACTTGTCAAAGATTAGATGTCAAAGAATTTAGAACGTCAATTTGATTTACCAGATTTACCTGCTTCAGTGGCGTATCGGATGTTTGTGTTAATAAATAATTATTATAACTTATCTATTTTTATTAGAATTATATATTTTTGTAACAATTTTAATAACTACCAACATTTATTCACAACGTCAAATAAAACAACATATTATTGAGTCTACCCCGCGTCTACCCTACATCATAGTTTTACATTTTTTAAATAAAATTAGAACGGCACTGATAAACCGGAATTTAAGTCGGCCATATTTGAGGCCCATCGTGGTGGATCTAAGATTTTTGATATGCTCCTTCCTTAGTCTTCTTATTCAAAGTACCCATACAGTGTAATCCACTTGACGTCACAACAGATGCTAGAGCATACTGGTTATATGTATATCGGAGGAGATTATAGCAAAGCATAATGATAACCTCAGATTAACTAAAGATGACTTGAAATCTTACATTTTTATTATCAGGAGACTTCTTTAGTTAGTAATGTGATTTTATCACTGTACAAATCGTTTGCGAGCTTGATGTGACAGCTACTGTCAATGTAGTGATTGTGCGTCTGCTTCGTGTCCCTCGCTTTCCCCTATTTGTGTCCCACATGTCATGTCTTTCCTCTACCAATTCCCTTGTCAAAAAATACGCTTTTTAACATCGAATATAAAGTTCTCTTGATAGGCTGCGCTGCTGATTGGCTGATTATATTATACCAGGTTTATTTGCATATTATTTTTTATTTTAAATATTGCGAAAATTTTTTGGAAACAAAATTTTATGGAGACGTTTAAGTATGAACTATGTAGGGGACATACGTTCACTCGATGTGCACGTGCATGTTATATTTATTCACATGTTCGAACCATTGTTATTAAGCATGCGCATGCAAGGAAATATACACGAAAATGTACATTATATCTCTGATGAAACGTATTGTTTCAGATCAAAGAAGGAAAATGTAAAAAGTAAGGTTAGGTTTAGAAGAGGAATTGTATTTATTGTAAAGTATATATTTATGCGACTTTTCGATTTTTGTATTCATGTTTTTTTTTATTTATTTAAACTTTTTTATTATTTCGATTAAAGTTTTTATTTGTGTATAAATAGATTTTTAAGTATTGCGTTTTATTTTTTACGTTTGTGGTAGATTTGTTGTCATTTTATTGTGGAGATTTTGTCATTAACATTGGCTTTAACAAAACCATCAAAAAATATATCTAGTTAAAGTAAATATATAGTTCTTCTCGCGTTACTTTTTTTTTGTTTTCGCATATAAGCTCGTCTATGGGTTGGCAAACATTGAAAGGGCGAGAGTAATATAAATTATTGAAATATATTTATTTACACTTATATTTTCTATATAATAATGTTACGGATTCCGTGGGTCCACTATTTAAACTCACGATAAAATACTTAACGAATTTATTTTCTCACTTTATACACAATTACTAACTTATAACACACAACAAACTAACTATTTATAAGATTCCTTCACCAAATTGTCCGATTTTCAATTTCCACGCGGTATATTCAAATTTCAAAAACTTTAAACTTCTCCAACTGTCGTAAGCGCTCCTTTTATATAGCTGTGGTGAGTGTTTCGCGAACAATCTAAAATTATCGGGACGGGTCCGCCATCTACTAGTACATTCTATTGTCTGCTTCGCTTACTTGTCGACTTGATTAAGAGATGGCGCTACAACAAAATATTGTCTTCAGGTTTCTGGACACGTTGCGGTTTTAGTTGCTCGCTTCTCCGACAGATGGCGCCACATACACCTTGACATTGCCCCCTTCTCAAATTTGATCGTCCCGATCAAGGTTTCCTGTCTGGTATCTCTTCAATCGATCCAGATGAACTACTTTCATCTTACTTCTAGGGCTGCGTTGAATCCGGTACACTACATCATTTATCCTCTTGATGACTGTATAAGGACCTTCCCATGCTGGAGTTAACTTTGGGGACCTTCCTTTCTTGCGCTGTGGATTATACAACCATACTCTATCGTCCTGTTGAAATCCCGTAGAATTAGCTCTGAGGTCGTAACGAGCTTTCATCCGGTCACTGGCTAGCGTAATCTTACTTCTCACGGCCTTATGAATTCCCAATAATCTTTCCTTCCTAACGACTCTTTCGAACGACCGTCCAACGTTATCTTGTTCCATTTTTCCTCCAGATCGAGTACTTGGTCCTTGTCTAGCTGCGCAAATCTTACAACGTTGACACCATTTCTTAACATCTTCACAATAATCCACCCAGTAAAAACGGTCTCTCAGCTTGCTCAGGGTCTTGTTTACCCCAAGATGGGCTCCAGTTTTACACCATGAATTTCTTCCAATACCTGGATAACTTTCTTCCTTGGTACCAGTAACTGAGTTGTTACTGTCCTGCCATCCGCACTTTCCCACGTGCGCTTTAACAATCCATTCTCAATCACCAGTGAATTCCACTGAGCCCAGAGAGCTTTGAAAACGAGCCCTCTGTCCGCAATATCCTGCCACGGTGGTCTCTCGCCGTTACCTTCCTTGAGCCGTAGTATTGCTCCGATGTCTGGATCTTCCATTTGATCTTTCCTCAATTGTATCGTCGTCCATGGTTCGTCAGTTCTAAGCTTAAAATTCCTTATTCTGATAGTGCTTTCGCGATGTTTCATTTTCTTGTCCAAGGTAGCTCGTCGTCGATCTAGGTCGTTGTCGATAATTTGTACCTGTCCTACACGGCACCCAGCGGTTTTCTCTAGTTTCCCGAACACAGTCTTCTTAGTATCACCAGGTATCATCACAATTTTCGATGATCTTTCTTCCATATTTCCTGGTCTCTTCTCTTTAGATACAGAAAATTCCTCATTTCTGATTTTCAGGATGTTTCTATGGTGATCAAACGAAAAACCATGTTGACTGATCACATCCATACCCATGATAAAATCATCTTCAATGTCTGCCACTAAAACGCTATGCCGAAACTTCAAATTCCCTAACTCCAATTCCATGAAAGCCTCTCCCCCGTACAACGGCCATTTCCCCGTAACTGTACGTAAATACACTCTTCTTCTAAGAGGCATCATCTTCAATCCTTGCATTGAGTTAGTCCGCACCAACGATACCATAGCGCCTGTGTCCACAGTCATTCGAATTCTTCTACCATTGACCTTCCCGTTGATCACCAAACTGTCAGCGGTTTTCCTAGACTCTAACGGAAAACATCCTAGGGGCTCGGTTTTCTTCAGCCAATACTCGCTCATTAGTGTTGATTTCCTGGTGCCTATGTTCTCTCGATGGTAAACGGAACCGCATTTGGACGCGGCAATCCCGTTTGATGTGGCCATTCCTGCCACATCTATAGCAACTTATGTCCTGGGATCTTCCGATGTGCCGATGTTCTCTGGATGGTGAATGGAATCGCATTTGGATGCGACAATCCCGTTTGATGTGGCCATTCCTGCCACATCTATAGCACCTTATGTCCTGTGATCTTCTATGGTTCTCTGTCTGGGTGTTGTTGCTACTCTTGTTCACTAGTAACTCACATAGTTTACCGAACTTTTTACACATCTCCTCCAAACTTCTGTGGGTACTCTCGGGCTGTTCCTCGACTGTTACTGATCTTATTTTCGGTCTAGGGATGGCGCTAAAAGCAGCTTCTATTTCCAGCGCCCTGACCAGTGCTTCGCTGCTGGTAGAAAATCGTGATATTTGTAGCGCCCTCTGTAATTCGTTGTCCCTCAATCCGCTGATAAAACACTGGGCGGCGAGTTCCTCCCTAAACCCTTCCGGTGCTTCTGGATATGCCAGGTGTACCAACCGACGTAAGTCTGCTTCAAATTCCTGCAGACTCTCTCCGGACCTCTGCATGCGTGTCTTGATCTGGGCCTGGTAAAGTTGACGTCGATGTTGGTCGCCATATCTTCGGTCCAATGCAGTAACCAAGGTTTCGTACTCCTGCTGTTGGGCTGCAGGAATAGTTTGTAGCAATTCAGGGCAGGGGCCACGCAGCGCGATGACGAGTGCCGCTGCTTTCTCCTGGTCAGTCCATCCATTGGCAGCAGTCGCTGCTTCAAACTGGCGCTGGTACATCGTCCAGGTGGTTTGTCCATCGTAGGTCGGGGCCTTGAGGTTCGCAGTTCCATGAACGCCAGGTGTCCTTACTTGTACCTTGGTTTTCTGTAGGTCCATCTCCAACCTTTCTATCTTCTGCTGAAGGCGCTCCTCCAGATCTTCTACGGCTTCTTGAAAGTGGTTCTGCTGTTCCTGGCAACGTACTTCCAACATTGCTTGTTGCTGTTCCCCCAAGCTTTTCTGAAGTCGAATTTCTTGATTTTCTAAAGTTTTCTTAAGACGGTCCTGATCTTCTTGTCTTTCTTTCTGGCGGCGCGTTTCTATATCTTCTAAAATTTCCCTCCATTCATTCTTCTGACGAA